AGATGTAGTTGCACAACTTTTGACAAATATTCCAATATTGTTGTGCAATTTAGAGAAAATATTTCCACCTGCTTTCTTCGATGTTATGGAACATTTACCTATACACCTCCCTCACGAAGCAGAGTTAGGAGGATCTGTTCAGTTTAGGTTGATGTATCCGTTTGAACGCTTTATGAAGCATTTAAAGGGTAAGGCTAAAAACTTAGCAAAAGTTGAAGGGTCTATCGTGGCGGGAAGTTTGACATCGGGATCAATGAGACGGTCCGGGAAGCGTTTCGTCTGAAGGCGCAGAAACCCCTAGTCAACACCGTTTCCGATTAGAAGCGGAAGTGGGAGACCGACGGCGACGACGCAAAGCCGAGCCCGATGTCCACTTCCTGCAGGAACGGGTTGAAGGCATATTGGATGGACCCGCATGCACAAGACATAGCTGCTAAGTGTTCGGGCGTTCGAAACCGGGTCGGTCCTGACGGTCAGAAGTTAGTGACCCCGCACAGTTCTGGCCAAATATCATTTGCGGGAAGACGTCTAATGATGGTAAGTAATTTTAATTATTTAATTATTTCTATTTTTCAATTATTTACATTTCTATAATATATTTTTAAATATATTTTTGCTAATGTTTAATTGAAACTTTTTTTGGTAGGCCAAGGAGAACGGAGGAGAGAACGGACGAAGCTCTTCGAGACCACTCACCGGAAGAGGGACGGGACTTTTGTAGATGCGCGGTCAGAGGACATCTACAATGCCACTATTCAGAGGATCGCCGAGCAGGAAACCCAGGCAACACCTGACGATACTATCCAAGTACCTTTGACCGTCCTCGAGCAAGACCAGATCTTCGAAGAGGTATGATCGATTTCAAAATTTTAAAAAATTTATTATATTTAGTACTTAATTATCTGTATATATATGATCTAACGTTTTTATTTTTATTTGTAGGTTTCTCCGAAGAAGAAGGGCCGCACCTTAGGGATGGGCTCTATTAGAGACTGTCCCGCCGCCTCGTCTTCCGGATACCGCACGCAGGAGGATCTGTGTCAATTTCATCAGGAGCTTGCTACGGCTAATGCTGAGATCACCAGTCTACGGCATGAGCAAGTGGCCCAAAGCAGGAGCTCACCGAGATGAACGGCCTCTTCGACATCATAGCGGCAGCGGTTCCGCAGTTGGCCACCGCATCCTAGAGAGGCAACGGCGAGCACGCAGGATTATTGCGGGTGGTACTTCCGGTGGATCTTCTGACCAGCAGACGCAGGGTCAGACTTCGTATCCCGTAGTGCAGATGGAAAACGACGGTACAGCAGCGACGGATGGACATGACGGAGAGCCTCCTCGAGATGTCGATCTCAACCTCGAGGATTATGAAATTACTTTGTATATTAGGTTTTAAAAAAAAACAATTTGTATTTAATTTTGTATTTTAATTTATGAATTATTTTCGAATTTAAATTTTAAATTATAATTCGTTTTATTTAATTTTCATTTATTTAATTATTTTAAAAATTCAATAATTAAATTAAAATCGAATTTTAATAATTATTTTTCTAATTCGACGTAAACTTGTCGTAAATTTACGTCCAATTAAAGGCAAATATTTTACGACGAATTAACGTCGATATATTTTACGTCGACTTTACGTCGATATTTTACGACGAGTTTACATCGATCTATAATAAATTTATTTGACTCTTGCGAAATAGATCGCTTGTAATCGTTGTAAATCCGATGTAATTTACATCGATTTTACTTCATTGTTGTGTTAAAATTATTTCGTCGTACTTTCGTTGGAACGTTTACGTCGTTTTTACGACGAATTGTTTCCGACGATGTTACGACGATTTCCTTGTGTTGGCAATTTTACGACGATTTTACGACGATTTCTCTTTTACGAAGATTGTTTTACGATGATTTTTCATTCGTCGCTAATTCGACGCAAATGGCCCATTACGTCGATTTTACGTCGATATCTTCCGACGTAAAAGGCGTTCTTTACCGATTCCTAACAAGCCTTGGGTGGATATATCTATGGACTTTGTTTTAGGATTACCCAAGATAAGAAACAGGGATTCAATCTTTGTGGTGATGGAACGGTTCTCAAAGATGGCACACTTCATTCCTTGTGCCAAAACAAACGATGCGTCACAAACAGCTGACCTGTTCTCAAAGAAGTGGTACGCCTGCACGGTTTACCTTGCACCATTGTATCAGACCGAGATGCCAAATTCCTGAGTCATTTCTGGAGAACTTTGTGGAGGAAGCTTGGCACCAAGTTGCTTTTTTCCACCACTTGTCACCCTCAGACCGATGGACAAACTGAGGTGGTGAACCGCACCTTGTCCACCCTTTTAAGGGCCAACGTCGGTAACAATTTAAAGAATTGGTTAGATTGCATTCCTTATGTTGAATTTGCTTATAACCATGCCACCCACTCGGGAACTAAGCTGTCACCTTTTGAGATTGTGTATGGATTTAAGCCAACGCCTCTTGATCTAAAGCCATTACAACCACTAGAGTTCACCAACCAAGATGGGGAAAACAAAGCGGAGCTCATCAAGAAGATCCATCAAAAGACAAAGGATAATTTGGAGAAGAAGACAGCCCAATACAAGCAGCAAGCTGACAAGAACCGCAAGGAGCTAATTTTTGAACCAGGATATTGGGTTTGGATCCATATGAGGCCGGAGAGGTTTCCAAACCAGAGGAAATCAAAGCTTACACCTCGTGGCAATGAACCTTTTAAAGTCTTAGAATGCATCAACAACAATGCTTACAAATTAGACTTACCAGGTGAGTTACACATTTCACCGAGTTTCAATGTTGCTGATCTCTCTCCTTTTCATGCAGGTGAAACAGTTCTGAGGCCAGAACTTTCTCAAGAGGAAGGGAATGATGAGGACATGGCCCATAAAGATACTTTTCCAACCATGAAGAACCCTCCAAGGACAAGATCAGGACTTAGAAAGCTCAGGGAAGAGTTTAACAATGCCATGGACACCTTGATCAACCAAAGCAGCTTAGAGGACATCACCAAGGGTATTGCTCAACTCGGCCTCGATCAACCGCTTCTCAACCAAGTAGCAATGAGTTTAACGGAGGACAAGATGCTATTCATACAAGACAAGGACCAGAGCGAGAAAGAACTAAAGCTTGAAGATCAAGATCATGGCGACACAAGCATCAAGTCTACACCAACTGTGGAATGGCCACTAATAAAGACTCCAGGAGCTCGCATGATCTTCTCCATTGAAGCTACAAACGACTAAGTGTCAAAACGACACCAAGGTGAGTGTTTGGTTTAATTATATTTTTAGACTAACGAGTTTCCCTCTCTTTGTTTTGCAGAATTTGTCTTAAGGTCCTTATTAGTTATATTTCCTTTTAATTTAGTCGAGAACTCTAGTAATGTTTCCATTTTGCCTTATTTACTTTACAAGAGTCTGTCGCAAGTTTTCTTTCCTTTTCTTGAGTCTCTGTCGACCCTAGAAGGTCAAGGCCGAAGGACTGTTTATAAAGTCCCACATGCGGCATTGTAAGACACAACTTTTTACCCTAAATCAATAAAGAGCGTATTTTCTTAGAGCAGTCGCCCCTCCCTCCGAGTTCTTGAATATTTGTGTGGTTTCCCCTTGTGTTCATGAGTTCACCGACTTATCACAGCCTCTCCATCAGCTGTGTGGCGTCACATTGATCCCTTGGTCCTTTGTTCTTCATTCATTCGCTAATCTAAGTAAAGAGAGCCTCTCGGCCAGTTATTTAGGTTCCATCCCTCCGCACTTGATCCTATTTTCATCTAAGTGAAGAGAGCCTCTCGGCCAATCACTTGGATCCATCCCCACTACCCCCGATCTTATATCAGGTTTGCAAGTTTGTGGGTTCGTTTGAGACTGCAAAAAAGGAGCAAACAAGCGGGCAAAGCGAGAATGACCTGATGAAGGCAGCACACGAGATCTTCTATAATGACTATGGAGCCAAATTCGCCCAGGAACACGCTTGGAGAGAACTGAGGCACGACCAGAAATGGTGTTCGACTACATCAACTAAAGATAGTGAGAAGCCAAAACGCAGATAAACGCCGGAAGATGGAGGACTCCACGGTTGCAGATGACAGCTCAACCGCAGACAATGCATAGCCTAGGCCGATTGGTGTTAAGGCGGTAAAAGCAGCTCAAAGTAAGAGAACTAGAAAACAGACAGCATCCGCTAACGAGGCAGAAAAACTGGTTGTGGATATACACAGTGTCTGGGAGATCAGAAAGCAGGATATGGAATTGAGAGACAAATTGTCGGACAAGAGGATTCTTGAGGGTTTACTTTCTAAACCCGAGCCACTTATGGAAGCAGAAGTGGCACTGAAAACCAAACTCATTAATGAACTGTTACTATAACGTTTAGGTAATATAGTTTTGGTTATATTGATAATCTTGTTGGTATAATGAACTGTTGCTATAATGTTTGATTGGGTTTAATTCGGTAATCATTGTGTTGTTGTTATTTTGCAGGTTGCTGGGGTATATCAAGGGTCCTATCTCAACTTGGATGTCACGGGATTTGTTCTGTTCGAGAATTGGGTCCTATCTCTATAACAAGGGTCCTATCTCTTTTGTTTGTTTCAATTATCATGTAACTTTTCGGACATGTATTTCTATGTGGTACTTTTGTTGAGGTCACGGGTTATTTTTGTTGTGGCCAGAAGTGTTTCTTTTATATACCACATATCTAAGTTACAAACTATTGTGACCATATGTTTTGATGCTTTGGTGACCATATCTTTTCGTACTTGTTCATTTGACATGTATAAGAGAGAACCCAATGTGCTCATTATTTCATAAGTAAAACTCACAAAAAACTTCTACTCTCTAAAACACCACTCTCCTCATAAACAGCGACTACTACAAACGCCAATCTCTTTCTTTCTAAAACACCACTCTCTTCTAAACTCTAAATCACCATCTTCTCTTCCATTCTCATATATTCATCTCTTCTCTTATTCATCAATAATGGCATCATCATCAAACGACCCTTTCTCTGATGAAAGGTTTGATGATCTTTTTGATCAAACGATGGATCATTTGTTTGATACCCTTTCGGAGATTCAAGCACCACCAAAGCCAAAGAAGAAAAGAGCATTCATAGAAAGAGAAAGAGAATTGGGTCACCAGCAACTATGGAATGACTACTTTAGTGAAGATTGTACATACCCACTGCATGTATTCCGACGCCGTTTCAGGATGAACAAGCCATTGTTCATGCACATTGTGGATCGATTGTCTGAAGAAGTTTCATATTTCAAACAAAAAAGAGATGCTGCTGGAAGGTTTGGTCTTTCTGCACTTCAAAAGTGCACAGCAGCAATTCGCATAATGGCATACGGTTCTGCTGCTGATGCGGTTGACGAGTTCCTCAGGCTCGGTGAAAGGACTGCACTTTTATGCCTGTAAAATTTTGTGGAGGGAGTAATCAATGTATTCGGAGATGAGTACTTGAGAAGACCAACCGCTGACGATCTTCAACGACTTCTTGATGTCGGTCAATCGCGTGGATTCTCGGGGATTATTGGAAGCATTGATTGCATGCATTGGGAGTGGAAAAATTGCCCTACGGCATGGAGAGGACAGTATACACGTGGTTCAGAAAAGCCGACAATCGTCTTAAAGGTTGTGACATCATATGATCTTTGGTTCTGGCATGCCTTTTTTGGACCTCCAGGTACTTTAAACGGTATCAATGTTCTTGATCGTTCACCTGTTTTCGATGATATTTTCAAAGGTCGAGCTCCAAAGGTTACCTACTGGGTTAACGGACATCAATACGATTTGGCATACTACCTCACAAACGGTATATATCCCGATTGGGCAACGTTTATCCAATCTATTCCACTCACACAAAGTGAAAAAGCAAGACTTTTTGCTACAACGCAAGAATCCGTCAGAAAAGATATCGAACGTGCCTTTGGAGTCCTGCAACCTCGTTTTGCAATTGTGAAAAAACCTGGCTCTATTTTGGGATAAGGTAAAAATTGGCAAGATTATGCGAGCAAGTATCATCCTACACAACATGATCGTAGAGAATGAACGAGGAAGTCTATCACTTATCGATTTAACAACTTTCGAGCAAGGAGAAGGGAGCAGAACATCACAGGCCGATAGGTCGTATTCTACGAATATGCCTACTAATTTCACCAATTTGATTGGCAACCGAAAAAAAAGTAAAAGACAAACTGATACATGATCAGTTGAAAGCTGATTTAGTTGAACATATTTGGGAGACACTTGGCTAAATTCCATATAACTACTTTGATGTTTTATCTTATGTTTTCAATATTTTTATTGTCTATGTTATTTAATAATGTAATGCAAATCATGTATCATATATTTTCAATATCATAATATATCAATTTAATCATTATTTTCAAATTTAACATTGAAAAAAAATATTTTTTTTATTTTCTAAGAACTTCTGCAGAGATTCAGGAGAAAATAGATGGGATCCAATCACTTTTGATTTCTCCAAATCTTATTAATAAAATATTCATCACAAACCCCATATGGGGTTCACCAATGTGGTGGTCCTAATCACATATCCGCTTTCCAAATTTTTGTATTTTTAATTCGGAATTTACATAGGTTTTGCATGGCTTAATCGAGTTGGCATTGGCGTTACGCGTACATCGATTATATCCAATTCATGTTCTTTAAAGATATAAGTGGGAGGCCTATTAATTTCTCTAGTTTGGCTAATAACATGAATCTCAATTAGCGAATAACATGGAAACACAACGAGACGTACTGTAATTACATTTGAATAGAACAAAACCAAAACGACGTATAAATGATGCTAAGTTTATCCTATTCACATTACCCACATTGATAATTAAAGTCACATAAATAAATATATCTCAAATTAATTACTATTATTTTCTCCAAAACCCAAAGAATGTAATTTTAAAAACTTCCCAATGACGTGTCTCTCTGTGACGGGCTTCTCCAAAAGCCTGCCCCATAGAAACGCTCCAACATTTCATTCTCAAGCCTTACGACGTCGTTTAATTCACCACTCGCTGTGTTTTCCTCGAAAACAATCTCAGCCGTTGGATCTTCCTCCTTCAATCTAGCGTGTACGGTGCTCTGACTCCCTTCCGCCGCCGCTGACGCAAGCAAACCGTGTCGTTTCCTCATAAAACGTCGCCGTTTGCTTCGTCTCCACGCTTTCTTACAAACCGCCGCCGGTACCTTATACACGGCCAAAACCACCAGATTCACCACCGCGCAAGGGCAGCAACACCAAACCGCCGCGCACTCCGCCGCTGCTCCTCCCGCTACCTCTCCCACTTTTCTCCTCTCCGCGTGTTTGCTCATCGCCGTCGCTGTCGTCGGCGGAGAGTTTCTTTCTTCCGATGCCAATAATGGCGATTTCAGTATCACGTGACGAGTCATACCCGAAAGATAGAGAGATGAGAATCGCGAAACTCTCTGGGATCTTCAGGATTAAAGCGAGATAACCGTCTCAGAGAAATTTGATTTCCCCGAGAAAATAGAATCTAGTGAAAATTGACCCATCTTTGTTTAGGTCATTCATCATTGATTCTGGTTATGTTGCAATCAAATCATGACGATCCCAGGAGGAGAAAGTGAACCAAAAAAATATGGTGGATGACAAGTAGAAATAAGGAGGAAGGATTAACGAAAATAGCCGTTGTGTAAATTTTCTCGGGATTCGCTGGAATTTTTCCGAAAAAGTGAGAGAGAAAATCGAATTGTCTGGTCAGAGAAAATAACGAATTTGAGGTGATAAAAAAATGGAAGTAAAAGAGTCACCGAGAAGATCGGGGAGGATATAACCAAAGATTTTGTTTTCTTGTTGTTTTTTCTAAAATTAGACAAAACCATAAACAAATTAATAATAAGATTAAAGGGTTAACAACAATGAGAAATAAGATTAAGGGTTACAAAAAACAATTTAAAATAAAATAATTGTTTTTTTTTTTGCTGCGATTTGAGAAAGAGAGAGATTTTGTGTGGTTTGGTCCACACGTGACGTTAGTGATTTTTGGAAGAAAGTCATTTTGGAGTTCTCTATTTCTTATTTATTTATTATTTTGTTTTTTATGTTGTTTGATTTAAATTCACATGAACCACCAAATGTTTGCTTATAAAAGCACCTGAATTTCTTCTTTTCTCATCTTCCATCTGTTTGATTGGTTTTTTTTGTGGAATTTCCAGCTAGATAAGAGCATACATTAATAGGAAATTAAAATTTTAAAAATAGTGGTTGAAAAGAAAATACATAACAAAGCAAAAGATTTTTTGTTTTATATATGAGTCCTTGTTTTATCCTACAATGGATCTATGTGGAGATAGATATAAGTGAAAATGATCTATAATGTGTTTTTCCTGAGGATATGGATTTGTAACGATATATTCGTGAAGAGTAAATGAATTATCCTTCTCAATCTACGTAAATGTAATCTAAGAGACATATATTTAAAGACATTTGTGAGTTTGAATCAATGACTTTAGTATTTCAAATGAATTGATCAAAATCCTTGTTTAAGCTCGAGTAATTATGTATATAGGTTCCTGAAAATGATCATTATTTGCAATGAAAGAGTACTATGAAAATACGAGAGCAATAGTACAGGAACTAACACAGAACACAATATAAAAATTTCCTCTACATAAAATATTTTATTAATAAATTTGTTTTGTAACTTACAAGTATACATAACTCGATTTAAAGCAAACTCAAAACACACTTTGATTTGTTGTTCTAGCATCACTTTATTCTTGCATCTATACGTGATTCAAGAACCACTCACTCAAATTCCTTAACATTTTAGCTCATAATTTCTTACAAGATAATCACTCATTCTTTCCTAAAAATTCTCTCATTTTTGTTGAGCTCATACGAAGCTTCAACATGTCTAATCATATATAATAGGACTTGCGGCTAAACCTAGCCGTGACTCCCCTTGTCGATTTCTCCAAATCTTCAAGTGAATCCTCTATTCCCTTATCTTCTCCTAAGAATAAGGAAACTTCACAATTCTTCAACATTGCCTCCAAGATACTCCAAGCTCCTTTTCCAAGTCAGCTTCTCATCTCTTGAAGAATCCAGTGTGTCCAATAGCTCCAGCTCAGCTACAAGTTTACTTCCACGTATGCAGATTGCTCTGCAAGTCTTCTCCGTATTATCGCTTGAGCTAGCTAGACTGCCATGGCTTTGTTTGCAGCTTCAATCTCCCCCTTTTTAGCATGGGTACCTCATAAGTACCTGTTCACCAAGACAACAGAAAAATAGAATCACAAATAAGCCAACACACGCAAACACTAGATATTCTGAAATGATTCCAAATAAAACTCCAAAAATAGAGTATCATGTCTTAAGCACAAACTGAGTCAAGGAGATAAATAATAATAAAAAAACAGAAGTTTTTGACACTCTCTCCTTACTCCACCGGAATCAAAAGAAAAAAACCCCAAAAAAAATCTACTCCCCCATAAGTCTTGCATCCTTTGACGTTCAACTTTCTCTCTCTGCTTGTGAGTACATGTTAAAAACAATATCAATTCACAAACAGATAGTCAACTGAAAGAGTTGGGCATACTTACTTGTAATCGCCTGATGAAGCATAGCCATGATCACTCCAAGACTCTGCAGCGCTGCAGATTCATCCTCCAGTGCTGTTCTACGACTTTCTGCACTTGCTGGAGCTTCTGACACACAGACTATTCCAAAGTTTAATTCAAGAGCTGGACCAGTTGATGCGGATGGTTCAAAAGCAGTAAATGGCTGATGTTCTGGTTCAAGAGCTGACTGAGAAGTAGACCCTGTCTGAAGCTTCCTCTCGTTATCCTTTTTCTTCTTACCCTTGGCTTTCTCAGTTGCTGCAGCAGCTGCCTCCTTTTCCAGAAAAGTTGCTCCACTCCAAGGATCCTTCTTGTACATGGTCGGGAATACCCAGGCTTCTCCATTTTCCAGCTGTACCACTTGTTGTCGTTTGATGACTCTGCTGATCAGACATGGAAACATCAACCAACGATGATCTCCCTTTATGACCTTTCTCAGGCTCAGCATCAGTCGAAACATGAGTAAGCCAACATCCACCTTGATTCCATGAGTCAGTTTGTAGATCAGTCTGGCTTGTTCTTCTGAGATATGGTGTTTGTTAGTGGATGAGACCCAGTTGTAAGAGGCAATCACCATTAGAGCAGCAATCTTAGGAGGAAAGTTCCAGAGGTTAACTCACTCCAGACTGTCTGTCTTCCCTTAGACAGGAAACTTACAACTTCTGACAGAGGAATTAGATCAGCTGATGCCTCCTCTTTCTTCTCTGTCTTAGTGAGTGGCTCACGTTGAAGAGACTCATTTGATTAGTCCTGGCTAGACCTGAATTTCCACTTCTCTGATGTTGACTGAGCAGCTTTGAGAAAAAATACTGGGCATCTTAGAGGGCAGACCTGCATAGAACTCCTTGACAACCTTGCTCACGTAAAAGGGAGGAGGTAGTGAAGACTCAATAGGGTCAAGTGCCCCCTACTGTTTATATTTTTTCTTAAATGATTTAAATAAATTTAATCAAAAAATTTCAATTTAGTGGTAAAAAAGAATAAGTTGCCCTTAATTAATTTTTTTTTGTTTATATACTTATGCTCCCAACTAATTTTTTTTTTCTAGATTCGCCACTGCTCACGTACTGTTCTATCTCCGTCACAATCGGTCGCATCCCACTCTCAATGATCACCGTGTGATATTCCCATTCATCTGCATCATCTATGTCTACAACTCTCTCTGCCCAGATATGACGAGACAGAAGAGAGTTGTACCTTTGCTGAGCAGGAGACTCTTTCTTGGCTTGAGCCTTGCTCTTCTTTCTTCTTTTTTCTCTTGCTTGATGATTCATGATCTTGTTCAGCAACTTTGAGGATGACTCCGCCGGTGGCTTCAGAGATCTTGGAGGTGGGTACAAAGATTCCTTTCGAGCTTGCTTTGCTGACGGAAGAGTTGCTAGTGCCTGATTCCTCTTCCTCTCCTGATGCTCAAACTATTCCCGAACCAATACATCTTCGGGTAGATCGCCGGTTCTCAGATCAGCTTCCTGAGCCTCTTCACCTTGGTTCACTCGAGGGCTCTCAGCTTCCTGTTGCGCGCTTTCCTCTAGAATTTCAACCTCCGCTGTCTCTTTTAGATCTTCACCATCGATGCCTTCCACCTCAGTGGACTCGACTGGTGCTTTGTCTTGATTTGGAATTGTGTTCCCAGATCCACTAGGGCTTAACCGAGTAACCTTTCCCTTCATCCGCCGTAGCAAAAGATTCGCTGTCACTCCAATCCCCGCTGGGAACGTCAATCTCCTCTCCAACGCGTGGAACTGTTGGATTTGCTTCATCTCCAATTGATCTAATCGATTTTTGCATGACCTCAACTCAAATCAACTTCTAATTGCTCAGTAATATTCTTCATAATACATTCTTTCTGGAGTGCATTAAAAAATCTAGGTTCTTTATCTTCAGTTTGTTTTTCCATAATGATCCGTTGAAGTAACGCATATGTATCTCGTTTGACTATGTAACTTTCTGAAGAACAAAAAAAAGAATTATAACAAACTAATTTTGTAATTAATTTTTTAACATGATCTTTTATTTTTTTCTAACGTACATTTTTTTATCCAACCGCTACCGTCCGCAATCGCAAACGCTGGCGGAAAGCAGCTTTTGGATTTCAGCAGTATAAAACGATATGGAGCGGTTTGAAGTGATTTCTATGATTGTTATAAAATGCCACTAACCGTTACCAACCGCAAATGCAGCGTTTGCGAGTGATAGCGGGTGAACCAATCAACACCTTAATTGACCATGGTGTATGAATTAATAAATTGTTCAAAATAGATCCTATCTAGATAAAAATGTGGACGATAAAGAAAAAAAAAATCGAGACTATCCAAATAGATTCCATGACAGTAGGGAGCCTCATGATAGAATTACCAATTTGATACCTAGGAATTCCCATCACAACAAAACCAATTAGAAAACTCAACTATGCACCATTCATTGATCGCATTCGTTTGACTTCTATCTTTGACTAGTCATAGCTCATCCGATGCATGATGCTTGCAGTTGATCATTTTTACGATGGTCATGAGTATCCAAATTCGTGGTGCTATGTTTTTCGTCTTCCAAAACCTTTGTTTCAATGAAATTAAGAAAGTTGTATGTAAATATTTATATTTGTCGAATTTCTCCAACTAGTCTTATTTGACTAAAGTTTGATGGGATGAAGTATGTCTCCTAAGGCAGAGGGAGCTTGGTTTCAAACATTCACTCTATGGTTTTGTTTGGATAGTTTGGTGTCGTTGTAATTTGCGGAACATGTCTTTTTGGGCTGCACCAGACTTGAGTTAGAGCTACGACTTTTGGGTCTAGTGGGCGCTTTTTAAATTTTGTTCCTTAATAGCTAATTTTTTTTATTTAAAATGAGGTAAAATAGTAGTTATAATAAAATTCTATTAAATTTTGCTGATAACAACAATAATGAGAAACATCAGATTCTTACTTACATACCATCTTATTAGCGAAGAACATGCAACCATAATTACACAAAGGTTTAGCTAATTCATCATCGTAGTCATGATAACAACGGAGAATGGAAAATATATAAGCATGGATATGTACTTCACAGTTACACGTATTAACTCGCACGCTACGACTGGAATTAACGTTTACTTACTCATTGCTAATTTTGAGACAACAACAAAAATACTAACACAAGAAGAGGAAAATAAAGATTGTCCAATCTGTTCAT